AAAAAAAAAAAAACAAACAAAAAATATTTTTAGACAATATTTTAAACAATTTTAAACAATTTTTAAAATACCCTTTTAATGAAGACATATTAATAGTCAACTGCATCAAAAGATAAAAATATGTAAAATTTAAGAAAAGAAATGAGAAATCACCATGGAGACATCAACCAAAAGCAAACGTCACAACAACTGTTGATCAAGACATCTCTAAAAATATCTAGTCTTAAAAACAAAAAAAAACCCTAATCTTAAAAAAATAATAAAATTAACATCATTTAATTTGTTAAAAAAAAAAGTCAAAACAAGAATTTACAACTGAGAACACTGGATTTCCTATCAGAATAATAATCAGCAATTTTTTAATTCTGAGACTTGTTATAAAAAAACTATAAAAAGTTCTCATATTAAATAAAACACAACATGTTATTTATGATATGACCTATAACATAATAATCATGTTAATATATCTATTTTAATTTCCCAGGGCCATAAAAGGTAAAAAAAAAAAAAAAAAACACACACACACTAAAAAATGTAATAATTTTATAGTTACCAACACTATTTTTAAAAAGATAGAGACATCATGTTCCAAGAAAAGAAATGCTGGACTGCTCTGTGCAGAAGACAATTAATGCAGCAGGCAGGCTGCAGCAGCCATCCCTCGAAAGGCCTGTTTAAAATGTTGACCCTTAGGCTGTGTCTGGAAACATAGGTTTGGGGAGAATTCACACCAGCCTGACAAAAGTGGCCTGGTGTGCCTAAAACGTCTGTACCAACACTATGGTTTATGCTGAACAACTGCTTTCATTTTGGGAGTTCCAAATTCTGATATGTGCCAGGCAGAGGCTGTCTACATTGCTAGCCTCCAATAAAAACCTTGGACCCTCAGTTTCTAACAAGAAAGCTGGCAGACAACTTTTTATCTATCTCATCATAACTTGTTGCTACAGAAATGAAGCACTTCCTGTGGGACTCTAGGAGAGAGGACTCTTGTAAGCTTGTACCTGGATTTTCCTAGACTTTGAGCCATGTATCTTCTCCCTTTGCTAATTCTGTTCCATAGCCTTTCACTGTAAGAAATCTCAGCTGGTGTAAAACCACACACTGCATCTTTTGAGTCTCTTAGCAAATAATCCAACCTCACGTTAGTCTTGCAGACCCCCAAAGCAGGCTCTCACAGCCCTAGGTTTGAGTCCTACATCTGTCAATACTTAAACTGTGAGACCATAGGGAGAGTTAACAAGAAAGATCTCCAGGGCTGTTTCCAAGTGACTAAAACATGTGGATAGGGTCTGGGATGTGAACAACGTAACATATAAACTTCCCCATAGTTCCATGATTCTTTAAAGTACTTGATGTAACTAAACATTATCCTCCTAGATCAGAATTCAAATAATCAAGAAAATATTTGCCTAAAAATAGAAATGCCTACATATACACAAGTTTCTACCTAGCACCAATCAACACTAACCCTGAGAAATAAACTGTGCTCAAACAATGCAATTCAGTCACAAGCAAAAGTATCAGAGTTCCATTTTTTAAACATTAGAACTTTGTGTCAGGTTTGTTTTACAAAGGAAAATGATAATAAGTAACCAAACATGACACCCCCAAATTCCAGTGCTCTTTTATTAGCTACAACAACACTCTAGAAGCAAGAAAGATGTCAAATAGCCCAGCCATGCAAATTATTAAATTTAAAAGGAAGTGCTATTTTAGGCCAGATAACTGGAAGACTGAAGAAAAATCAAGTCTCCCCAAACGGATGCCCTGATGATCTCAACTACCTGAACTACAGAGGAATGCTCAAAGACGCGAGGGACAATATTCCAAGTGTATCACTATTAAATAATAGAACACGCTTTCTTTTAAATACCTTTTACGTTTTTCCGTGGTTTAGAAGATTTCTTCTCCTTTGAACTCTGATTTTTAACAGATTTTTGTTTTCTTTTCTCTTCTTCAGCAAGAACTTTCTGAAGCAAATGAGCAAAAAAATCGAAGTCAAAAGGGCGCTTTTCCTCTGTTTAAAAAAAAGAGAAAAAGAACCCACAAGTTTATATTTTAAAAAAAGAAAAAGAATTTTCAAGTTAAGTACCATACATCAAAAGCAAATGGGCTTATTAGGAGAATGGATAACCAACTCTAGTCACTGTAGTAGAGACTCACAAAAGAAAACTGAGCAATAAATAGGAACAAGTTACATCAGATTAAAAAACAAAAAAACAACTATGTACTGATACAAGCAATATTATAGGTAAATCTCAAAATGTTGACTGAAAGAAGCCAGACATAAGAGAGCACATGCTGTATGATTCCATGAATAAGAAGTTCTAGAACAAGCAAAACTAATCTATGGTGATTCAAATGAAAATAGCAGTTGCCCTGCATCAGGATAGCTGTGGAGACTGACTACAAAGGTACAGAGGGGCCTTTCTGTTCGATGAAAATATTCCATACCTTGTTTTGGGTGGTGGTTGCTCAAGTATACCCTATGTCAAAACTCAAACTATAAATTGCACTGTATGTACATTACAAATCAACTTTGAGAAAAGACCAGATGACTAACTCCTCCAAGCCTCTCTACCTCATGTCCTCTCTTCATCACAACCCTTTCACTATTTAATCTTCCAAGTATCAGCAAAAAGGGAAGCAAGTGAATATTGATCAGGACCATTCTCACTAAATACTCATCAATGTCATTACATTAGAAAGAGCCATGGGGGCACCTGGGTGGCTCAGTCGGTTAAGCGTCCAACTTTGGCTCAGGTCATGATCTCGCAGTTTGTGGGTTTGAACCCCACATCGGGCTCTATGCCGACAGCTCGGAGCCTGGAGCCTGCTTTGGATTCTGTGTTTCCCTTTCTCTGCCCCTCCCCCACTTGTGCTCTGTCTCTATCAAAAATAAACATTAAAATAATAATAATAATAAATTTCATTTAATTTAAAAAAACTAAAATGGGGCGCCTAAGTGGCTCAGTTGGTTAAGTGCCCAACTCTTGATTTCAGCTCAGGTCATGACCTCAAGGTTTGTAAGTTCGAGCCCCACAATGGGCTCCACACTAACAGTGCAGAGCCTGCTGGGATTCTCTACTCCACCATCCTCCCCTGCCACCTCTCTTCACCTCTCCCCTGAACACGCTCTCTTTCAAAATAAAAGAATGAACTTAAAAAAAATTCTCAGAGAAATTGAAAATATAAGTTCTAAAAAAAAAATTGCAGTTTAATTTTTTCTAATTTTCCACTACAAAGCACCCAAATCAGCCAATAATAAAATTGTGTATTACAGGGGCGCCTAGATGGTGAGTCGGTTAAGCATCTGACTTCGGCTCAGATCAGGATCTCTCAGTTTGTGGGTTCGAGCCCCGTGTCAGGCTCGGTCCTGACAGTGTGGAGCCTGCTTAGGATTCTGTGTCTCCCTCTCTCTGTCTGCTCCTCCCGACTTGCACTCTGCACCTCTCTCCCTCTCTCAAGAATAAACATTAAAAATTTTTTCAGTAAAATAAAATAATCTATTAAAATGGTCTTAACAATGGTTCCATACCCCATGAAGACTTTATGGATTTATGAATTCTCTTCTGATTATAATGCACTGAACATAATGAACAGTTTCATGACCACCTCTCCAAAATAGAAGTTTAAGACTAAAATACTCCAGATCTTCCAGGAGCTATTCTTGGAAGTGCTATCCCTAAAGACCCAATACAACGTTGTGAGTAGACTCCACTCATCTCAGGGTCTCCTCGTAAGGTAAACACACGTGCTATATGACATCAATCCTCTTTTCAGGTTTTTTCCAAAGATTAGCACTACAGCAAAAGGACAGTGAATACATTTATCATGAAACATTGATAATTATCTTCCAGACAAGGAATATAAGTTTATTTTTATTTTTTTTAAACTCTTGTTTGTTAAGTTTATTTTTTTTTTTTTAGTAATCTCTACACTCAACGTGGGGCTTGATCCCAATATCAAAAATTGCATGCTCTTCTGTTTGAGCTAGCTAGGTGCCTCTACAGGTACTATTTTAAACAATACATTTAATTTTGCTTTTTTTGTACAGATCCCTTGATATTCTTCTCTGGACTCAAAAAGAAAAAATGTTAACTGCAGTAAAGCAATTACTTAAAAGCTGAAAAATAGGTATCATCCCTTCAGGTATAAATTCAAACGCCACCTTTTCAGACAAAACTTCCCTGACTACCAATTCTACATATCCACTCTTCACTCCCTTTTTTCTTCTTAGAAACTAATCACTATCTGCAATTAACCATGACTACTGACTTTATCCTTTTCCACATCTAATTAGACTTAAGGCTCTAAAAGCAGACTTCTCATTTGCTCTGCTCACCATTATATCCTCAATGCCTAGAACATTAAACAGCTCTCAGAAGTTTACTATTATTAACTGAATGAATGACTGGCCACTGGAAGGAATCATCTATACTGTTAGTTCTTCCAGAAACAATTCCTTCTTGAATAGAGTTGACTCAGAACAAAAAAAAACACTTAGAAAAGGTGTCTTCAGTCCCTCTATAACTTCTGGAACTCAGAACTCTGCTTACTTGCTTAATGTTTTACTAATCCCTTGTCTATAGATGTGTTATCAGCTGCCAGACCTGCACTGCTCAAGAGAAAAATGTCCAGTCTCATTCGTCTTATGATAATAAAGAGAAAACACAAATCTAAAACACACCGGAACCAAACTGGTCCTTTTTAAAGATCTCCAAGTGATATGTCATAAAAGAGGTCTTAATACTTACGGAAGGCTTTGTCTATTCTCCATCCATTTGTTTTCTCTTCACGTTTAAATTTATTCTGTTAACAAAAGAAAACAAAAACCTATAGTAATTTTATCCTATTAAAAAAGTGAAGATTACAGTTAAAAAATAAGCATTACAATAAAACTTCTGGGGTGCCTGGGTGGCTCAGTTGGTTGAGTGTCTGCCTCTTGATTTCGGCTCTGGTCATGATCCCAGGGTCATGGGCTCAAGTCCTGAGTCAGACTTTACACTAAGCATGGAGTCTGCTTGGGATTCTGTCTGTCTGTCTGTCTCTCTCTCTCTCTCTCTCTCTCTCTCTTCCTCTGCCCCTCCCCCCTGCTTGTACACTCTCTCTCTCTCTAAAACAAAAATAAATACAATTCTTATAACAAATGATTCTCTCGTACATAACATCTTTGCCAACAGGCAAGCTACTTAAACCTTCAGCTTTTTAAAAAGAGATGATGATCTACACTGAGCTCCCTGAACCTCCTTATAATCAACAGCATAAATCAGCAATGGAAGCTAGAGTTACAGAGGATAGAAAAAATTTAAGTTAACTAGCCTGGTAACATATCAAACTGTAGTCAATTAAGCTAACTAATATTAACTCTTTAAAAACTAATATATTCATATCAAGTTAAACATCTTATATTACTATTCTCATGTTTTTTATGGCACAGAAGAGAGACTGTGAGAAAACAAATTTTTGAGTCAGGCCAAGTTTACCTTTAGAATCTTCTTTATATTGGGGCACCTGGGTGGCTTAGTCGGTTGAGCATCCAACATTAGCTCAGGTCATGATCTCAGGGTTAGGGACTCCATTGGGCTCTCTGCCATCAGCACAGGACCCATTTGGTCCTCTGTCCTTTTCTCTCTCTGCCCCTCCCTCGCTTACATGTGTGTGCATGCTCTCTCAAAATTAAACAAATGTTTAAAAAAAAAGAGAGAGACTTCTTTATATTAAGGCACATTTCTTCATGCTTTTCTGAGCACCAGAGATCATCATTCCCTGTAGCACTCCAGATTACCTCCATTAAGATGGAGATGGTTCAAGTTTAAGGTTCAATCCATCCTAACTAAGGTCATTAGGAAGTGTGAAGGTATAAGCTTGTTTGTAAGATTATCTAATCATGCAATTACATCCTGGGAGAGGGCATAATCACCAATCTCTCCCTTTTATAGATCAGTCTAAAAGCTTTTATTGAAAATACAAAAATCAAAAATGAGAGGCTATATAACCACTAAAATGAACATCCTAAGAGAAATGCCAATAAGCTTTAGGCATTATTCATTTCTAAAACAATACTATACCATATTTTACCTAATGAGGAACATAATTGAGAACAATTTAAAACATTTGTAAAGAATGTATTGATATTATTCCTTGAATTTATAGGCAGGAACTACTGAAAACTAAATTCCATGACTGTAAAATAAATCCCATAATTTCCACCACTGACTCTGATGAAGTAACTGGTTACAGGCTTACTCAACACATCCAACCACACCAAAAATAACTTTACTACTGAACCAAATAAATGAATCAACTGTTTGCAAACAATGGACAACAGCAAGAGTAAAACTACAACTTCACATTTCTGGAGAGAATGGAAACATCTAAGATGTACCCATGTTCACCATGGCTCTCTGGGCTAAATTCCCTAAACAATGAAGAGGAGATAAAGGCCAAAGAGAGCAGAGCTCTCAAGAGCTAGAGAATATTTAGGGGTTGCAGAGAGAAGACAGCTATATAAAAAGGAGTCTCACAAGCCTAGTCGAAGTATTCCATGGGTACTTGGTCTATATCTGGGTTCCACATACCAACAGCCTAAGGCCTAGTAGAAAACAACTACTCCAGGAATGAGAAAAGAAAGATACTAGAAGTTACATAACAGAGCAAGCTGACAGAATTCTAGCCCTCACAAAAGGAAAGACTTAGTTAATACCCAAACATTTACTTTAGACACCAGAAAAGCCACCACTTCAAGATAAGGACCACAGTCTTAAAGCAGGCTTTCTCACTCAGGGCTCTAGCGTGAGAATTAAATTCTAATGCCCTAAAGCATTCACGATATGTAATGAATTATACCATCTCTTCTGTGCATCTCGAATAGTACTAATATGATGGTCCTCAGAAAACTTAGAAAATTAATTCAAAGGATTTTCTATGGTTCAGATAAAAAACCTAGAAAAAGGATTAGCCTAGATTTGCCTTAATAAAGCCTAAAATCAAGCCTTGACAATAACAAGGAGAGTTGAGAGAATATTAACTGCCTTTTAGAACTTAATACTCTTTAAAGGAAAGAAACCAACAAACATAACCTAGACACTATCAAACATATCATCCACAATGTCCAGTAGTCAGTTTAAAAAAAAATCCATGGAGGGGCGCCTGGGTGGCTCAGTCGGTTAAGCGTCCGACTTCAGCTCAGGTCACGATCTCGCGGTCCGTGAGTTCGAGCCCCGCGTCAGGCTCTGGGCTGATGGCCCAGAGCCTGGAGCCTGCTTCTGATTCTGTGTCTCCCTCTCTCTGCCCCTCCCCCGCTCATGTTCTGTCTCTCTCTCTCTGTCTCAAAAGTAAATAAACGTTAAAAAAAAAAAAAAATTAAAAAAAAAATCCATGGGGCGCCTAGGTAGTTCAGTTAAGCATCCGACCTCAGCTTGGGTCATGATCTCGTGGTTTGTGAGTTCGAGCCCCACATCAGGCTCTATGCTGACAGCTTGGAGCCTGGAGCCTGCTTTGAATTCCGAATCTCCCTCTTTCTCTGTCCCTCCCCTACTCTCGCTCACGCACATGCTCTCTCTCAAAAATAAACATTAAAAAAAAAAATCTTTTAAAAAACCTCCACAAGGGACGCCTGGGAGGCTCAGCTACTTAAGCATCTGGTTCTTGGTTCTGGCCCAGGTCATGATCTCATGGTTCAGGAGTTCGAGCCCCATGTCAGGCTCTGTATATTCTCTCTCTCCCATTCTCTCTGCCCCTCCCGCTAACACACATGTGCTCTGTCTCTCCAAATAAACTTAAAAAAAAAAAACAAAAAAAACTCCATAAGTCATGAGAAGACAAGAAAATGTGATGCACAAAGAAAATAGTCAACAGAAACAGATCTCAACATGATCTAAATGCTGAAATTAACAAACAAGAAAGTTAAAACATGTTATAAATATGTTCAATGATTTAAAGAAAAATACGGAAGCAACAGGGAAATCTCAGAAGAAAGGAAACTAAGAAAAATAACCACGTGGAAATTAAAGAAATGAAAAATATGTAACATGAGAAATGAAACATTCACTGAATGGGCGTATCTGCAGACCGAAGACAGCAGAAGACAGGGTGAACATGTGAACACAGTAATGGAAACTAACCAAGTGATATAGAGAAAAAAGATCAGGAAAAAAAAAGAACAGAGCTTTAACCTGAAGTATAATGTTATGCAGGCTAATAGACATAAGTGGAGTCCCAGAGGAAAAGGGCAAAGTAGAAAAAATATTGAAAAGAAACTATCCATACGAAAATCATAACCCTACTGCTGAACACCAGAGTTAAAACCTCTCAAAAATAGAGAAAAACAATTTATCACATACAGGGGAATAAAAACAAAAAATATGACTGACTTATCATCAAAAACACTGAAGGCCAATGGACAAGAGAATGACAATTTTAAAACACTGAAAGGAAAACCTATCAAACCACTTGGATATCCAACAAAAAAAACCGAAAAGTAAGCTGAAATAGACTTTCAGATAAACCAAAGCTGAGAGAATTTTTCAAAAGTAAAATCGTATCCAAACCTACACAAAGAAATGAAAAGCATCGAAAATGGTGGCTAAATATTAAGGCTAGTTTCTTTTTTCTACTTTTCTACTCAATTTCCTTTAAAGACAAGACAATGGGGGCTGACAGCTTAGAGCCTTGACCCTGTTTTGGATTCTGTGTCTCCCTCCCTCACTCCCCTCCCACCCGTCTCAAAAATAATAAACTTTAAAAATAAAATAAATAAAGACAAAAGACTATAAGCTAAAGTAAGTTCGATGTAAAATTGGATTATAGTATGTAAAAGTGAAATATATAATTGCACAAAGGATGAAGGGTAGATGGAATATGCTTGTAAGAGATTATTACATATGGAGTATGAAGTGTAAAGAGTAAAACGGTACAATAAGGAAAATAAGAAAGAATACTAAGATTTATCTGAATAACCCAAAAGAAGGCAGGAAACGAGGAATAAAAAACAGATGGGTAAGCGGAAAATAGTGAGGTGATAGACTTGAACCCAGTCATATCAGTTATTACATTAAAGGTAAATAAACTAGGGGCGCCTGGGTGGCGCAGTCGGTTAAGCGTCCGACTTCAGCCAGGTCACGATCTCGTAGTCCGGGAGTTTGAGCCCCGCGTCAGGCTCTGGGCTGATGGCTCGGAGCCTGGAGCCTGTTTCCGATTCTGTGTCTCCCTCTCTCTCTGCCCCTCCCCCGTTCATGCTCTGTCTCTCTCTGTCCCAAAAATAAATAAAAACGTTGGAAAAAAAATTTTTTTTAAAAATTAAAAAAAAGGTAAATGAACTAAATTATTACATTGAAATGTACAACAGACATTTTATCGTTTTTTTTTTTTTTTAAATCAGGGTCAACGTAAGAATTCAATGACCATGAATTGGTCTCTCTCAGAAATATAACCTATAATAAAATTAAATTAAAAGAGTGTCAGACTGGATAAATTACTGCAACTACTATGGAATACAGTATGGATGTTGCTCAAAAATATTAAAAAATAAAATTATCACATGATCTAGCAATTCTACTTCTGCATATTTACCTGAAGGAAACAAAATCACTATCTTGAAAAGATGTATGTATCCCCAAGTTCACTGCAGCATTGTTCACTGCAGCCAAGACAAGTGAGAAATGAATAAAGAAAATGTGGCACTGGCACAAAAACAGAGTAATGGAACAGAATAGAGAATCCAGAAATAAACCCACAAATGTATGACCAAGTAATCTTTGACAAAGCAGTAAAGAATATCCAATGGAATAAAGACAGTCTCTTCAGCAAATGGTGCTAGGAAAACTGGACAGCGATATGCAGAAAAATGAACCTGGACCACTTTCCCACACCATACACAAAAATAAACTCAAAATGGATGAAAGGCCTAAATGGAAGACAGGAAGCCACCAAAATCCTCAAGGAGAAAGCAGGCAAAAACCTCTTGACCTCGGCCATAGCAACTTCTTACCCAACACATCTCCAGAGGCAAGAGAAACAAAAGCAAAAATAAACTATTGGGACCCCATCAAAATAAAAGCCTTCTGCACAGCAAAGGAAACAATCAGCAAAACTAAAAGGCAACTGATGGAATGGGAGAAGATATTTGCAAACGACAAAGCAGATTAAGGGTTAGTATCCAAAATCTATAAAGAACTTATCAAACTCAACACCCAAAAAACAAATAGTCAGGGGAAGAAATGGGCAAAAGACATGAACAGACATTTCTCCAAAGAAGACACCCAGATGGCTAACCGACACATGCAAAAATGCTCCACATCACTCATCATCAGGGAAATACAAATCAAAACCACACTGAGATACCACCTCACACCTGTCAAAATAGCTAACATTAACCACTCAGACAACAACAAATGTTGGAGAGGATGCAGACAAAGAGGATCTCTTTTGCACTGCTGGCAGGAACGCAAATTGGTACAGCCACTCTGGAACACAGTATGGAGGGTCCTCAAAAAATTAAAAATAGAACTATACTACAACCCAGCAACTGCACTACTAGATATTTACCTAAGGGATACAGGTATGCTATTTCGAAGGGGCACATTCACCCCAATGTTTATAGCAGCGCTAGCAACAATAGCCAAAGTATGGAAAGAGCCCAAATGTCCAACAACAGATAAATGGATAAAGAAGATGTGGTATGTATATACACACACACACACACACACACACACACAACGGAGCATTACTCGGCAATCAAAACAAATGTAATCTTGCCATTTACAACTATGTGGATGGAACTGGAGGGTATTATGCTAAACAAAATTAGTCAGAGAAAGACAAATACCATATGACTTCACTCACATGAGGACTTTAAGATACAAAACAGATGAACATAAGGGAAGGGAAACAAAAATAATATAAAAATGGGAGGGGGACAAAACAGAACAGACTCTTAAATACGGAGAACAGAGAGTTACTGGAAGAATTGTGGGAGAGGAGATGGTCTAAATGGGTAAGGTGCAATAAGGAATCTAGCCCTGAAATCAATGTTGCACTATATACTAACTTGTACATAAATTAAAAATAAAAATTACAAAAGAAAAGCACAAAAAAAAAAGAAAAAATGTGGTACATATGTGTGTGTATGTGTACAGGAATATCATCCAGCCATAAAGAAGAAATTTTCCCATTTGCAACATCATGGACACTGAAAGCATTATACTAAGTGATATAAATCAGAGAAAGACAATTGATGATCAATTTAGCAGCACACTAAAAGTGAATGTATCCATTACTGTGCCCAAAAGTGAATGACACAAGAAAGTCAATATACGTCAAAAACTGAATATAAACACAGAAAGAAGTGAATCTATGATCATGAAGGCAGATGTCAATTCTTTGCTTCGTTAACTACTAGAACTAGACAACATATCCAACAACAGAGTATACACTCATTTCAAGTGCACCAGGATAGTGACCAAGATGAATATAACATGTTTTTAAATTAAATCTCATTAAATTCCAGAAAGACTGAAATCTTACAGCTTATATATTTGATGTTCACAATGGAATTAATAAAACAATTACAAAACAGTAAAATATTTACCAATGTCCCAAATATTTGGAAATTAAACACACTTCTAAATAATAGAAATACAGGGGCGCCTGGGTGGCGCAGTCGGTTAAGCGTCCGACTTCAGCCAGGTCACGATCTCGCGGTCCGTGGGTTCGAGCCCCGCGTCGGGCTCTGGGCTGATGGCCCGGAGCCTGGAGCCTGTTTCCGATTCTGTGTCTCCCTCTCTCTCTGCCCCTCCCCCGTTCATGCTCTGTCTCTCTCTGTCCCAAAAACAAATAAAAAACGTTGAAAAAAAAAAATAATAAAAAAAAAAATAATAGAAATACATGTAGAAAATATTTTAACTGAGAAACACTGAAAGCAACCTATCAAAATTTATGAAATGCAGTTGAAGCAGGACTCAGATGAAAATGTATAGCTTTAAATGTCTAATTAGAAAAAAAGTACTAAAAATCAATGTTCAAAATTTTCATCTTAAGAAGAATATAATTAAAGGCAGAATAAATAGAAGGAAATGTTGAAGAGTTAAAAAAATGAAAATCCACAATTAAAAACTTATAACTACAGGTTGGTTCATTAGAAAGATTTGGGGAAGTCAAAATACCCTTAGCAAGACAAAGAAAAAAAAAGAAGGAAAACGTCAATTATCAAAGAGAAATATCCTATAAAAATTAAAATGATTACTGAACAGTATGAAAACTTCATGCCTATAAATTCAACAACTTAGCATCAAAACTGACAAGTAAAAAACTGAGTATCTGAATATACCTATATGCATTAAAGAAACTGAACTTAAAATCCTTTCTCAAAGAAAATTACAGGTCTGAAGATTTTCACTGTTGAATTCTATTGAACACTAAAGGAGAAATAGTATTAATCTTAAATTCATTCAGATAAAAGAAAAAAAACAAAAACAAAAACACTGTCCAACTCATTTTCTATAACCAGCATAATCCTGGTACCAAAATATGATAAAGGCATTAAAAGAAAGGTGCAAAATATCCTTCATAGGGCGACTGGCTGGTTGAGTCGGTTAAGTGTCCAACTCTTGATTTCAGCTCAGATCATTTCAGTCATGAGTTCCAGCCCCGCATTAAGCTCTGTGCTAACAGTGCAGAGCCTGCTTGGGATTCTCTCTCTCCCTCTCTCTCACTGCCCCCTCCTCTCTCAAAAATAAATCAATAATAAATAAATATTCAAAATATCCCTCATGAACAAAGATGCAAAAAATCCCCAAGAGGGGCACCTGGGTGACTCAGTCAGTTGAGCATCTAGCTTTGGCTCAGATCATGACCTCATCGTTCATAAATTCATTAGTTTGAATCCTCCATCAGGCTGGCTGCTGTCAGCACAGAGCCTCCCTCAGATCCCCTGATCACGTCTCTCTCTGCCCCTCCCCGGCTCACATGCATGCACTCTCTATGACCTTAAAAAAAAAAAATTCTCAAGAAAATATAATAAAATCCAACATCAGAAAGAATAACACAAGTCTGGTTTGATATTTGAAAACCAATACAATCCACTAGTCTAAATTTTCACTTTTCTAAATTTTGCCCAAAGATTTGTTAGAACTACACTAAACTTAGGGGAGGAGTCTAAACAATTTTGGGGAGAAATAGTTTAGTGACAAATTTATCATTAATTACTCAGATCAGAGAGCTCCCCTAGACAATTTCTAGCCTTCACATACTTTAACGTTTTCTTCTCCTTATATCAAAGATCAACATTAGAAAAGGAACATAGATAATATAAACAATTCTTCTTTTGCAGAAATAGAATAACCACTACACCATATAATGGTCCCCAGGTGATGGATCCATGCCTAGTGTAGCACAAGAACAAAACATCTGTCTTTCCTGATAGTTTAATTAATGAAGAAAAAAACCCATGGCTGAATAAAGAGCTCACTATAGGAGTGCCTGGGTGGCTCAGTCGGTTGGGTGTCTGACTTCGGCTCAGGTCATGGTCTTGCAGTCTGTGAGTTCAAGCCCCATGTCATGTTCTGTGCTGACAGCTCAGAGCCTGGAGCCTGCTACAGATTCTGTCTCTCTCTCTCTCTTGCCCCTCCCCTGCTCTCACTGTGTGTCTCTCTCTCTCAAAAATAAAATAAAAAATTTAAAAAAAAATTTTTTAATAAATAAAGAGCTCACAATATATTGAAAAGGCATAGGGGCGCCTGGGTGGTTCAGTCAGTTGAATGAACGACTGCAGCTCAGGTCATGATCTCATGGTTTGTGAGTTCGAGCCCCGTGTTGGGCTCTGTGCGGACAGCTCAGAGCCTGGAGCCTGCTTCGGATTCTGTCTTCCTCTCTCTCTGTGCCCCTCCCCCACTCATGCTCTGTATCTGTCTCAGAAATAAATATTAAAAAAAATTTTTTTAACTGAAAATGCATGACAGCCTACATAGTGTGCACTCATATGCACTCCATCCCAGGAAACTTGTAACTAAGTTTCTCACAAAGGGAAAAATAAAACAGAGGATACTACTCACTCTGTTAGGCATAGTAAAGCACTAATTTACATCACTGCTCTTGTTAATAGTGGCCCTGTCCACAAAGTTAAGGTAGCCTAAGAAAGCAACAGTTAGATCAGATCATGGGAATTATCTAATTTAGCATGCCTCTCTTCATGCCTTCCTAGGAAATTAAGCAATACACTCTGTTCAAAAGCTACCCTTAATCCAAATATGTATTCTGATACATTTATTCTTCCCTCTTCGTTACATAATGCTTCTTTTATCTTAGATTCAGTGGTTTTATGGGTACTCCCTAAAATCCATTCTAGAAGTGAGCAAGACATAGATAATACACTAAAGGTAAGAAGATTGTACTCATATTAGAATTCAGTAATACTGCATTACTTTCTGAGCTGTAAAAAAGGACACGCACTCAAAACTAGTAACGAATAAGGATGAACTGAGATTTAAACAAAAGTTAAAAAAATAGTATTAGTAATTTTTGGTCCTTTTCCAATCAACAAATGTATTGGGTTTACTTTACCTTAATTTCTATCCTTGCTCTGTGAGGAAAAAGCTGTCCAATCATAGAAAAGTCAGTTCCTACCATGCTGATGGCTAAAAAAAACATATCTGTTTCTGTAAAAATAAAAGATTTAGAAAGAATGAAAATTAATCCCAATATTTCAGAGGAAAAAAAAATCTTACATGAAGTATATATTTTGAGTTAAAAATAAATTTGAGAGTATCTAATAGTCTTTTATTAAAGGCCAGGAAATCTTTAGTCAATTTTATTGCTAAGAACTTCATGCATCTAAAATAATGTCTAAACTTTTATACAGAAACATAAGCAATTTATAAACTCATACCAAGAAGCTAAAATTAGGAAGAGAGGGAAGAGAAGGGGAAGAAGAGGAAGACGAGAACAAAGAGGAAGGAGGAAGAAGGGGAAAGAGAAGAGGAAGAAGAAGAAAACAACATTCTGCCTATCTGGTCTCAAAGTGTTCTTAAGAAAACCATCAGTCACAGCCACTATATTACTGCTTTAACATAAGCAACTAAGGTGCACTAAATAGTATGTGAAAGAAAGTAACCAAAAAACACACAAGAAACTATTAAAAGAAGTAACCTCAATAAAATAGCATTGGGGAATACAGAGGAGGAAAGTATAGAATCTTTCTTGTTGTCCTGAATTACTCTGTTCTGTTTCATTTTTTCCCCAAAAACAACCTGCATTATTTTTTGTAAGAATAAGCGATACCATTCAAAAGGTATTATAAGTTTCAGGCACCTGGGTGGCTCGGTCGGTTAAGTGACCAACTATTGATTTTGGCTCAGGTCCTGATCTCACGGTTCATGAATTCAAGCCCTGTATCAGCCTCCATGCTGACAATGCAGAGCCTACTTGGTATTCTCGCTCTCCCCCTCTCTCTTTACCCTTCCCCTGCTTGCACTCTCTCAAAATTAACAAATAAACTTAAAAAAAAGTAGTATATGCTTTTTAACAGCACAATTTTGACCCTTAGAAACTCTGTTATACAACAGTATCTAAAACAGTATCTAAGATAGAACATTATTATGAGTATTAGAAATATTAATAGTTTTCCATGTTATTTTTTATACAGGGATTTGACAAAGAGGACTACTCTACCCAAATTACCATAATGCTAATTCCTAAAAAGATCATGAAGATAAAGCCAGAGACGGAGTTCCATAATAAGTATAATAAGTGGCGGGGGGGGGGGGGAGAACGGATGCAGAGGTCAGTTCCAATAAAATTAGCTAGACAGAAAATAACATGGTTTTCATTTTATTTACTTACAGAAAATAATTCACTTTACTTCAAATAAATATCCACAAAATTTAAAATGAAAATTAGTTACCTTTATTTGACCATGGTTTAGAATAATAGTTTTTCCTAAAGCTGGAATATGTAGTTGTAGAACCACGCTCAAATATGGGGTCATTTTCCTCAACAACACAGGGGCCTTTTGTCCTTAAAACTTCTACAGTTAAACTGAAAGAGACACACTTTTAAATAGATTTGCACTTAGAACAAGAAAGAAAATAATACATGATATTTGAATAGTTATATTTTGAAATGTGCCATGACAGAATCGGAACAAAAGTATAATAATATATACTTGAGGTATGCATATTTTCCAAGATTCTGTTAATTTTCACTTAAAATGTGATTGCCAAGTAATAAAATTAAATGCCAACATTCTTCTGAAATCGTTAATAGCAATATAAAATTTACACATTATCTTTGGGCCACCAAAAAATTACTTATATTTTATTGACTTCTGTATGTCCCCTACATTTAACACATATTACCTTATCATACTAAACCCAAGAGAAGATGAGAAACATAAGCATCTTATGTTTTTGTTCTACATTCCTGTAAACAAAGCATTACAATGCTTTAACTATTTAATGACCAGTAAAAGGATCATCACAAAATAATGGCAAAAAACACACAATTATTAAAAGTACTGCATTTATGTTTCATTATCATAGAATTTTATATGCTATAAAAAGATTTTTATACTGAACTGTCAGACTACTTTACATCCCTCTTTTATATTTAGTTACTCGTGAATTTATCTTCTTTTTTAAAAAACACACTTTGGACAAACAAATAATTCCACAATGCCAAATTTGAAAAATTTAATATTATAACTGAGAAACTACAAAGTGAATTTAAACCTTGTCATAACAAAAGTTATATAGAATATTAACCCTGATTAAACCTGATTCATGTGTTGCATGTTCATTAGTTATAACCACACACCAAAATATGGTATTAGTTAATAATAAGAAAACCTGAATTTTGACTTCAAGACTGAGCCAATTTTTGAAATGTATCATCAGTAGAGACCAGCATATAATTAGTTCAGGAGCTCACCCCAATTACCAGTAAAGTTAGTAAAACAATTGTGAAAGGTTAATGGATGACGGATCAGCAGTACCATCTTCTTATAAAAAACACAGCATAAAAATCGCTAAAAATTACAAATCAATCTAACTCATCTTTCTATTTATAACATGCATTAAAAAATATAAACATTAGTGTTTATATGGTCAGGTAACCATGAATGATGCAGAAATTCAATCTCTCTCATTAGACAAAGCACATTTGTTCTTATATTTGAAACCACAATCTCTTTTTTTTTTTTTTTTACTTACCTTTCTTCATCCAAAATAATGGAACCATCTTCTGCCACTTTTACTCGAGGAACCAGCAATGGCCCGTCATCCACTTCTTCTTCTACTTCTTCATGACCTTCAGCATCAGGAGTACTTTTACCTTCTTGCCTACCGAATGTAAAGATAGCTTAATTCATATATCCAGGAGAAGGATCTCCTGAGTACTATCCACTTCTGAAATAAATTACTTCGAATCCAACCTTCATTTGATTTCCAATTTTCCCTATACCCTAAGTAAAGATACTACATGTTAAGGACGTGGTTATAAGAATTTCCCCGACTATGGGGTGCCTGGGTGGCTCAGTCAGTTAAGCATCCGACTTCAGTTCAGGTCATGATCTTGTGGTTTGTGGGTTCAAGCCCTACATCGGGCTCTGCGCTGACAACTCAGAGCCTGGAGCCTGCTTCGGATTCTATGTCTCCCTCTCTCTGCCCCTTGCCCGCCTGCACTCAGTCTCTCTCTCAAAAATAAAAGCATTAAAAAAAAATTTTTTTTAAACTATAAAAGGGAAAGAAAAAGAAAAATATATACACGTTTATTTGTTTAGACACAGAATAGAATTAGAATGATACATTAAAAAATTGGTAACAATTGTTGCCTTCAGGCAGCGGAACCAGATGACAGAAAAACAGAGTTGGAAGACTTCTCAGTATACTTTTATTCCATTTGATTTTTGTACTGTTTTATTTATGCTACTCTAAAACAAAACAAAATCCTTTTTAATTCTAAAAGCTTCAATTGAGGGGTCCCCGGGTTGCTCAGTCTGTTGAGCATCCAACATTTCAGCTCAGGTCATGACCTAACAGTTTGTGGAGATGGAGCCCCATGCTGATAGTTCTGGGAATACCTGCTTGGGATTCTCTTTCCTCTCTGCCCCTCTCCCCCGTAATCATGAACACGTACTCTGTCTCTCAAAATAAATTAATAAATATTAAAGAAAACAATATTTTTAAAATAAATAAAAATAAAATATAAGGTTTCGTTAAAATAACACCATTGGCCATTTCCATATATAATACACAGTATGGGCCGCCTTACATTTTGATTTAAATCAGACAGTAAGTTTTATTCTTGCTAGTGATTCTATCTAAACATTCCTATCACATGCAATTTGACTATAACAAAAAGCATCATTTGATTTTTTTTAAAAACTGTACCCATCAAATAACTTATTTTAAAAAAACACTAAGATAAAATGCTTACTCTCTTGTCTGGACTGGTGTCAATGATTTTTCAGTTTTCTTTTCTTGTTCCAGTGAAGAACTAATAAACAAATAACAATTGTTTTAAATGTGAGACTATTTAATATTTAATATAAAAAATATTTTTAAATGAACAATATATATCTTGTCAATTCTACCCATTGGCAAGAAGGAAATTATTTTAACTTGCATTTTTTTATATGATAAACCATAACGCTATTATTAATAATGGTGTGGCCCAAGAGTCAATTTCTCAGTCAAAAACCTTGTCATCAAATATAAACCTGCTATGCCCTAGGTAGGAACGTTTTTACTCTTTAATTCCTTAGTGAAGGGAGGCTCTCCCAGTCCTCATGTCTGAAGCAACCTACATGGCTTATCTCCAAATCCTACATGTCAAACAACTTACCACCTAGGCTTCTGGCCCTTCGGCAGCAAGCCAAAGACCTGGTAAACCTGAAAAAAGCTACACTCCTGCATCCACCTGCTAAACCATCAGCAACATAACAATGAGATTTATTATAAATCATCTGCCTCCTCAGGCTAACTTTACTAAAGAAGCTTTGTTCTTAGAAGATAAATAATATCCACTATAAATAATTAGGAGGTAGAGCATAAAAATTACAGCGTTCCTTTAGAATCAGGGTATAGTGTACAAGAAACACAAACTGCAGTATTGATTAAAGTTGTTTAGTTTTATAACATTTTGGTAATGTAAGAAAATAAACTTATTTTGGGGGCGCCTGGGTGGCTCAGTCGGTTAAGCATCTGACTTCAGCTCAGGTCACGATCTCGCGGTCCGTGAGTTCGAGCCCCGCATCGGGCTCTGGGCTGATGGCTCAGAGCCTGGAGACTGCTTTCGATTCTGTGTCTCCCTCTCTCTCTGCCCCTCCCCCATTTATGCTCTCTCTCTGTCTCAAAAATAAATAAATGTTAAAAATAAAATAAAATAAAATAAAATAAAATAAAATAAAATAAAATAAAAAGAAATGAAACTTATTTTTAATTTCAGAGGAAAAGGGCACCATCCCAAGAAAGCAGTTACCTGAAATACAACTAAATGTTGTTTAAAAATTCTATCGAAAAAACATCGTATTTGCTATAAGTTTTGCCAACATACTTTTGGAAAACACGAACTTGTACTCTAAAAGTGATACTTAACTCACAACATACCCAAAGGAAGGACAACAACAAAAATTTACTTACGTCATTGGATTATTATCTGGCAGGTAATATATGAAATCTCTCATAGTCATTTTTGAACGATCTGGTGGCTTCTGACTTTCATTTATGGCATATTTGTTTTTCCATTGTTTCTGGACACACAAACACACACAAAAATCCACTTTTCTTTTATAAATGTAGAATTTCACATGTACTATATTCAAAGGTATATCCCACTGTTATATTCATTGCAAGTGACTTAGTATTATTCTTATCATGATTATTCCCAATTTTAGGACAAACTTCATAAACTGCATTATTACACAGTGTAGCACATCAAGGAATTTTAAAAACTAAAGTGTCTAGGTCTGGATAAAAGCTCAACGTATAAAATCATACTACTAATGCCTTCTAACTATAATAGTTTGCTAAGCATTTATAAATACATAGTTTTTGTTTACCCTGTAATGAACTAGATTTCTGTGAATTTTACAAAATTCTTAAAGCAAATGTTTAATTTTTTAATTCCTGAAAATAAATCTACCTAAGCAGATTCTATAGAACATCTTTAGAGACCTAGATTTTAAACAACATAGATTCAAATCCCACTGATATGTGATACAAAGCAAATAACTTCTCTAAACTTGTTTCCACCTGCGTAAAACAGTGGTATCTACTACACAAAGATGATAGAATAATATAAAACACCATACTAAGTGCCTTCCTCTGAATTAACAAGGGGATTTTGTAATAATAAAAGCTGACATTTGTTAAGCTCCTTCTGTTTGCCAGGCACTAGTCTAAATGTGTTTTACATATATTTACTCATCCAATCTTTACAACCCTCCAATGAGATACATACTATCATCAGTCTTATTTTGCAGATGAGGATACAGAGAGAAAAATCAATTAAATTGCCCAACGACACATACTAAGGGATGACTCTAAGATTCAAATCTTAAGTATCTAACTGCAGAGCTTACATGCTTCACTATTGGTACAGTGCAATCTTGGAAAAATAATCGCTCTTCAAGATTAAAAAGATGGGCTTTACTATACACATAAATGCAAATTTTTCCCATTTATAATTTCCATACTGTCAATTTATAAAATATTACCAATTCATTTTGCTCAAGTATATTTGTCTTAATTCAAATGAATGTTATTCATGTCACGAAAAATCATACTTAAAGTATATTTTATAAATATGCTTTGTATATTTTCTATGTGTGTAGAAACAGACCTTCTATTTTTGGCCTTCACCAAAATCAATCAAAGATATAGATGAATATAAAAATTAACGTAGTGGAAAAAATAGCTTAAGTCCATCGCGCTTATTAATCATTCAATTCACAAAAGGGGATCTTCTATTAAAATAAGGAACATTAACTGGTTATGCTCCATTAAATACTACAGATATTATTCCTCGAAATGATGCCTAACATAAAAACAGAAACCTAGTAGGAACAGTCAAATGTGATTTTTCTCCCTTACCTTCTCTTTTCTCAATTCTTCTTTTAACATTTCTCTTAGTTTCTGGGCTTTATATATTCGGTATCTGTCTGAACATGGCTGTTTCTCTTTTGTTGAAATAGGCTTTGGCTGTGGAACTTCTTGATTAACTGTAGATAAGGGATGAGATTCTGAAGGAACACTGACACCAGGCTTAACCAGAGTAGTACTTGATATTCGTTTTCTTCTCTGTGAAACAGCAGAGGAAGACTTACTGGATTCTTCAACATAATTCTCATTGTCAGTCTTTCCATCACTGTCAAAATTAAAAAAAAAAAAAAAAGGATACCATGGATCTTTCATATTCTAGTTTTAAAAACTAGCCTGGTAAAAATGTAAACCAGTAAAATCTCATTATTAAACAATCAACGACTTGAGATATACATTATTCATGACAGATTCCAATAAAAACTTTGTTTACTAAAATTTTTATTTTTTTTTAATTTTTTTTTAATGTGTATTTATTTTTGAGACATAGACAGAGTGTGAGTGGAGGAGGGGCAGATAGAGAGGGAGACAC